TCACTCACTAAAATACGTTCATCATAATAAGAAAGATCCTTTGAACGTAATGCTTAGTTTTAAACAAATCCATGACTAATCATGACTAACAAATAGTTTAATAAATAACTTGATACTTTCAGTTTATATTTCTTCATCTATTCACGTATTTCTATGTGAAACTGGTCATATTTACTAGTACTTAAAATTATTCACTGAAAATATATCCTTCTCCTATATGGTGTCATGATCAACAAGTGATAAGTAACACTCTGCTATAAAACATTCTCAAGAAGTCCCCGATTTTGATCAGAAAGCACCTTGCCCCCATGTTCACAACATGTATCTTGTTAGCTTGGCAACAATTTGGGACATACGGTAAAATATCAGTGATGTGGTATATCATATCATCAAGCAATGTCAAGTAAAAATATGTTTCATACACAAGTCATGAGATAAGTATATCAGTGAGAAAAATGAGTTTTTCTTTTGAGCAGGGAAGGTGAGGTGAAATTGGGTTTTACGTCGTGCTTGAGAATATTTTGCTCATATGACGACGTGCATGCGTGTGTATGTGTGGCTGCTTGTACTAGCCCAAACTGAAGCTGGTTTTATAGTGCTAGCCCACTGAGAATAGCCCACTCAGACACTTTATACTGATTCCAAGCTGACCAGTCTTTGTTGTACCCATTAATGCCGAGCCCCAGGCTGGGACCAACAAGTACCATATTTTAACGTCTTTTGGTATGACGCAGTCGGGGATCAAACCCACGACCTACCGCTCTCCGGGCGGACGCTCTAACCACTACACCACGAGCAGGGAAGGGTTAACAAGTCTTGACACTCACAAAAAAGGGGGGACCATATTTTTCATTTATATCAGTATAGTCAATTTACTTTCAATAATCCTCAGAAATGAACTGCGGAATAGTATGTTAAAACTTATGATACCATCCTCATGTATCCAGGGAATAGCATCTCTATTCCATTACGTTAAATACCCTGAACTATTAGCTATGAAAATAACCATTATTTAATTTTATTGATGAGTGAGAGAAATCAGGTGCTATGTCTGTAAAAAGAGTTATGTGAAGATGTTGCTTCCATGAGGAAGCTTTGAAAAGGGAACTTACTGAGGATCAAAAGGTATTATCTTTCATGATAATTACAAACACATCATTCGTAATGACCACAAGAGATCTGTAAGCACCAGTTGATTTCAAACAGTTTTCAGGTTAATTAGTCTGGGTTTAAACCCACAAATATAAATAAGGCCAGACCATTTATATTTTTTGTTTTACAGATCAGCCGGTCATATTTTTTCGAGAATAAGAAAAAAAACAAAAATTAATTTTCCCAGCTCAAAAAATAAAATATCAATGTTTTATTGGCCAAACATGTAAACTTACAAAAAAGAATTTATTTTATTTATTTATTTATTTTTATTATGGGGAGGGGAGGGGAAAGAGAGAGAGAGAGAGAGAGAGAGAGAGAGAGAGAGAGAGAGAGAGAGAGAGAAAAAAAAGAAATTGTTTTTGCCCCATATACATTTCATGAATTGCCAAAAGTAAAACACTTTTAGTATTTAAAAGTAATATTACTTTGACTGGTGATTTTTATTTTATTTTTTTCCTCCTGCCTTTAGGTTTTCTGAGGACAAAAATCCATAAACCAAGAAATAAAATTGGTCTGGCCTAAACAAATAAAATCCAGAGAAAAAGAGTGTTGTGAATAGAATATAAAATTAACTCATTGACTCCTTTCACAGAAAAGTATGTGTGTTTAGAAGCAGTAGATACAAAATATGTATCTGGTCTTTAACAAACATTCCTCAAGGCCTCAAATCTTAATCAGGGTGAAATAAATAAGCCTAAAATCTATTCACTTGATCATTTTGCCTGTAACTACATTGTAACACTTGCCATGGATTTGTTGACAATATTATACAGGTCATGGTGACATGGCACACTAAATGTCTGTAATCACACAGCAGGGGGGATGATATGGCCAATATCTCCCCAAGATGTATCCTATGTTACTCATAGGCGTAGGAATGTAAATATAATATATTTATAGTATAAAACAATTGTATTTCAGTAAACTATTATTCTATTTGTCAGCACCCAAAATATGATTATCATAAGGAAAAAATGACAGTGACGCCAATTTCTTATTTTTCAGATATTTAAGACCAAACATAGAGAGAATAAGTTATTATGAAGACCTTCTTGTGAAGTATTCTAACGCCGCAAACAAGGGCTGGGACACTCTTTGTGGAGAAATTGCAAAGTCAAACACAAACAAATTTGAACTGGATTTAAATCATTTGCCAAACTATAGCAATATGCAATTCAGTATTGATCATGTTGCTAGAATGTTATATCCAGATGATGCTCCTACACATCTTACCCCAGTCAGATGTTATGGAGATGGAAACTGTTTTTGGAGGTCAGCGTCTCAACTCTGCTTTGGTTTTAAAGATTATTATACTGAACTTCGAGTGAGAGGTGTTTTTGATCTTATCATCAATGAAGAACATTACTTAAATGAATCAAAACTGACAACTGTTTCTGAAGCCAAAGGTAACGGATCACTGTTACAGTATATTTTGACGTCATCCGAAAGTCAGTCTGCAGAGGGTGACAACATGCAGCGTTACAGACATTTAGTGATGAAAACAACAAGAAATAAAGAATATTCATCAGTTTTACACATGTTTAGTTTGCCAAATGTTCTGAAACGACCAGATCAGTTTATCTATCCCAAAATCCAAAATGTGGCTACAAACAGACATGTACTTAATGAAACAATACACCCTCTGAATGATGCGGAGGAGGAACCTGTCTGCATCATGTGGACACATTGTACAAATACAAATACTAAGAACTGCTCACCAAATCATTTTGTTGCTTGTTTGGATACTGAGAAAAAATGTGTTGATACTGACTTGGCAGAAAATGACCAAAAAAGAAACAAAAGAAACAGAGGACGTTGGATTTTATGTTTTCAGTTCAGAGCAAGAAGCAATATCATAGTGAGACAAACCATCAGAATTTCCCCGGACACAAGACTCTCAGTCTCATATAAACCTAGTTTCAGACATCATCAGTGAAAGCAAGAGTAAGGATGTTTCAATGGAGAGTTCTCTGACATCTGAGCTCCAATCATCGTCCGGTAGTGATGAAGATGAACGTCAATTAGGGTAGGTAGGTAGGAAGAATTTTTTTTTTAATACATTTTTTTTAGTAGCAAAGTACGAACTAATAACACATTTATCAATGTGTAATTGGTTATTCAATCAAGCTTGCGGCCATCATGTCGACTTTCTCTATCAGAATGACTGATGTCCGCTGGTGATGGGAAAAAAACAATGGTATCTGAAAGCTTATTTTATTCACACCTAATAAAAAAAATTAGGGTTGGCACCAGAATTCAAGGGTCGGTCTGTTAATCGGAACCACGACATATTTTTTTTTTAGGCCTAATTACTCTTACTTGGTCCATGAGGTGAGATTGGATTTTACGTAATGCTCGAGAATATTTCGCTCATATGACGACGTGCATACGTGTGTATGTGTATGTGCGGCTGCTTGTACTAGCCCAGACTTAAGCTGGTTTTAGAGTGCTAGCCCACTGAGATACCATGCTGCAGAGAAGCATGAATACCCCACTCAGACACATTATACTGACTCCGAGCAGACCAGTCCTTGTTGTACCCATCAATGCCGAGCGCCAGGCAGGGACCAACAAGTACCATATTTTAACGTCTTTTGGTATGACGAGGGGGATCGAACCCGCGACCTTCCGCTCTCCGGGCGGACGCTCTAACCACTACACCACGGAGGCGGTCACTTGGCCCATTAGAGTTATTAACCTTGTATAGTGACTCATTTCAAGTGGTATGTTGATAATGTTCTGCAGTTTTAATCACCCTGTGTTTAATAACTGATGGAATACTGAAGCAAGTGTGACCCTACTTCATATAGAACTGTAGAAACATTATATCTGGAAATGCTATAGTTTGGTCTAGTGACAGGCCTCGTCCCACAAAGCGGTCCAACTCCAAGATATTAACTCACACTCTTTAACACATGGGCTTATGACAATCATAGAGGTGTAGATTTATTGATGCGGAGAGACCTACAACACAAACGCCTGACTGTGAGTGAGTGAGTTTACTTTGACCCCACTTTTATTAAATATCAATATGTCATCAATATCACGGCAGGGGACACCAAAAATGGGCTTCACACATTGTACCCATGTGGGGAATCAAACCCGGTTCTTCAGCGTGACGGTTAAATGCTTTAACCACTGGGCTACCCTACTGACCCACACAAGCCTGAAGGTTGAAAGATATTTAAACATGAGGTGATCTTATCTTCATGATACTACTATTCTCAGCCTGTTTTGAATTTATAAGTAATTTTATCATGTGTGTAAGTCTGCGAGCGTGTGTGTGTGTGTGTGTACACATGTGTGTAAGCAGGTGATTGTGCGTGTACTAAACATCACTTAAAGAACACCAATTCTGTCATAATACTGTCACACATTTCAGAGTAACTACGGTAATATGTCTTTTGAGTACATGAAGTTATTTTTTCTATGGTATCTTAGATCTGATAGTCTTTATGTATGTCAAATATAACAATTGATAATATATTCTTCACACAGTCCAAGACGTCAAAAATGTCAACCTGCACTTTCAAATTAAAAACTGAACACGGCAGGTATGGCTGCTCACCTGTCCGATTGATACAAAGCCGACGAGATGGCAAGAAAACTTTCACCATATTCAGTGTTGGGACCATTGGTACAAAGTAATTAACTGTATTTCCGAGCTCGTCAGTCCGTGTGAATCTTCGCTGTGGAATGTAATGTGCTGGAGTCGGCAAGAGGTGACTCACTATCAAATGAAGTTCGCCAGTCAACATGAACTTAGAGCGCGGTATGATGAGTTTTTCTAACTTGTCATACGACGAAATTCACACATATTCATACTATCACCAACAAATGCCTACCTGAGTTTAAGATTTTCCATAAAAGCATCGAATGTAAGTTCTCGCAGCAGTACAAAGTCTCCGATCCCATACTCGGGACCTTCGTGTATCCCCGCCATGGTTAAACTCTCAACAGGTGCCTGCAGATGGCGCTTTATCAACCGGTGTCGGCCCAAGTCGCTCCCGCTACGGTTCAATGAAGTGGTTGTCTATGAAATTGGATCCGTTTATATATATCTCACGAAGAGAACACTGTGTCGTTGAATAGCATCTTGCTTCGCACACACATACATTAATGAAATTACTTCCGTGTTCAAGGGTCGTATGTTCAGGTGATCTATTTTTATCATATTGCATTTACGGTTAGCAGTTTTTTAGTGTCCGGGGCGGAATGGGTCCCAGTACACGATTCGCTTGTTGTGGCCCAGTGGAAACGTGAATTTGTTGGTTACGTCGTGTGGCCTGGTAGTCGCGTGGGTGAACGCGTTTCAAAATTAATTCAGTTATATCAATACACGCGAACTACTTAGTCCGACATTAGTAAGATGAGGTGAAATTGGGTTTAACGTCGTGCTTGAGAATATTTCGCTCATATGACGACGTGCGTGTGTATGTGTATGTGCGGCTGCTTGTACTAGCCCAGACTTAAGCTCGTTTTATAGTGCTAGCCCACTGAGATACCATACCGCAGTGAAGCATGAATACCCCACTCAGACACATTATACTGACTCCGAGCCGACCAGTCCTTGTTGTACCCATTAATGCCGAGCGCCAGGCAGGGACCAATAAGTACCATATTTTAACGTCTTTTGGTATGACGCGGTCGGGGTCGAACCCGACATTAATAAGAGAAATAAAGTAACACTCAACAGCCGCCTGTGTCCCCTGCTCTTGAGAAGGGTAGGGGTGGGTACCACGCTTCATATTCACCCGTTTGCAAAAGTCATTTAATTAACGTTTCAGGACAAAAGGGGAGGGGCGCACCCACCTCTCTGGATCCGCCTATGTCACTCACTCACTCACTTCATGAATGTCAAATAGCACTATAATTAGGGTTTTACTGCCCAATTTTTAGTGAGTGAGTTTGTATCCACGTGAGAAATCGAACCGGCGCTTGGGAGTGACGAGTGCACGCTTCAACCAATAGGCTTCACCACCGGCCGCCGTATACTAGTATTACGGGGCCGAGTTAGTCTGTCGTGCAGACCCTGAAACAAATATATCCAAGAAAGCCCGCGCAAGTCTAGAAAATGTGGCAAGTCTAGATTTCCACAGCTTCAGGAAAATGAAGAAAGTCTCAGGGCTCCTTTTCATTATATATTTTTTTTTTTACTATGAACTTTTTTCAGTAAAATATGTTCATTTCAGAGACTAGTTGTTAGTCTAGGGCCGAGTGTCAGAAACGATTTATATCCAAAAATGTTTCATAGTAAAAATGTGTGTTTTAAAGTGCTGTCAGAGAAAGAAACAGTCTAAAACAAATAACTGTGCAGTCTCTAACGGAGAAAGGTATAATTCATAAAAAGCTAACAAACAAACACTCTTCTTTTTTCGCATGTATCTCCATGAAGAATTATTTGTTTCGTCTGAAAGACTATATTAATGGGGGAAGTGAGTGAGTGAGTTTGGTTCTACGCCGCTTGTAGCAATATTCCACGGCGGTGGACACGAGAAATATGCTTCACACATTGTACCCATGTGGGAATCGAACCGGGTCTTTGGCGTGGCGAGAGAACGCTTTAACCACTAGGCTACGCAGCCGCTTCTTTGGGAGAAGGAAAACGTGTTGTATAACTGTATTTTTGTTTTATTTCATAATTGTATTTTCTAAAACCGATCCAATGAACGCTCAACTTACTTCCGCGTAGCTAGTTAGCTATTTCCGTTTACCATGTAATTTAAATATACATGTATATGTTATGTTAAAATATTCACCCAAAGACATTTATAGAAATGACCTATCAGACGGCGACCTTGACCCAGTACCGGGACAGGTCAAGTGTCTCATGTCAGGCTTTGTGCTATTTATATACACAAACACGTAAAGAAAAAAACAAAATGCTTCGGAAATGTTAATACCCCAATTGCGTGATGCGACGTGCGCCACGGTAATATTGCTGTTGACCTGATCTTCATGAAACACGCAGTTGCCGGTGGCTGCTGTTGGATCTGAAAGGGATTAGCCAAGCCGAGTTACGGGAAGTGTGTTTAAGTTGTGTGAGAAATAAAACAAATTTAGTTTCGGCAGCAGTTCGTAAACCGGCATCAACAGCTCAAATGTCAAAACACCTGTTCATATCAGTCAGCCTACATTTGATGTTTGATGTTCAAGTGAGTGAGTGAGTATGGTTTTACGCTGCTTTCTGGAATATTCCAGCAATACCACGATGGGGGACACCAAAACTGGGCTCCACACATTGTATCCATGTGGGGTATCGAACCCGGGACTTCCACAGACCCTCGTGTCTTTGCGAGGATTAAAGATGTTAAAAACACATAAAACATTTGAGATGACCCCCGACTCGAAATGCTTCACAGTACAATACATGATGTAGTGTACAGTGTAGCATTCAAGTCGGGGGTCATCTCAAAAATGTATTTTTTTTAATCGCTAATCTTCGCAAAGACGCTTTAACCACTAGGCTACCCCACGCCCCCATTTGATATTCAACCCCCAACCCCCGATCCGCCCCAGGATCAGACATATACATTGTTGCGACATTCATAACATTAATCGAATTTCCATGAAAGAAGATCCGGGGTAGCAACCCATGCTTGCCACAAAAGGCGACTATGCTTGTCGTAAGAGGCGACTAACGGGATCGGGGTGGTCAGGCTCGCTGACTTGGTTGACACATGTCATCGGTTCCCAATTGTGCAGATCGATGTTCATGCTGTTGATCACAGGATTGTCTGGTCCAGACTCGATTATTTACAGACCGCCGCCATATAGCTGGAATATTGCTGAGTGCGGCGTAAAACTAAACTCACTCACTCACCCATGAAAGAAAATGTATCTAGATTTATAACAAATTCACATCACAGCAGTAATATGTCGTCAAATTAAGAGCTACACGTCTGATAGTGTTCTTTCTCAAGGTTTAGTGAACTGTGCACGATCATTTTAAAATGAAATGTACATTTAGAGATACTTGTTTTATTCACTCACAAGTAAACGACATAAAACAAATCTGTTCAGTTTGGAAGAGATCTGTAGTGTTACACAGTTAGAGCACTAACTAACACACGAGCTTGTAGAGCCATATAGTCCTAGAGTCTCACTGTCATCTCACAGTTACTTTTGTCTCTGGTGTGCTATTATCATCAATTTCAGCTGTAAAACCGAGGATAAGTAAAACGCAGTCTGTTGACATTGAACGGCTGCCTCATATAACTTTGGAGACCGGTTAACGCCAATTTCACCAAAATATCAAGCTTTGGAAATAAAACATTTGGCGTTGCTCAAAGTCACAGAAGCCTGTAACGCATAACAAACTCCTTTTATATGGTACTAAGACTCCCTCAGGGATGCAATTTTTTTGCGTTACAAGCCGGTGTGCTCAAAGTAACATATTTTACACGTCAGCGTGGTCAGTGGTGGCCTCTCCACTGACACAGCGTCTTTTTGAGTTAATAATTATAATAATAACAATAAGGACAACACTCGATAGCAACAACGACGACGATGACGAACTTTTCCTGATCTCTATAGTGTGTCGTACAGACCCTGAAACAAGTATATCCAAGAAAACCCACGCAAGTCTAGAAAATATGGGAAGTCTACATTTCCACTGCAATGAAGAAAGTCTCAGGGCTTGTTTTCATTATATTTTATTTTTTATTATTATGAGCATTTTTCTGTAAAATATGTTCATTTCAGAGACGAGTTGTTAGTCTACCTGGTTCCCAATGACTGGCTGTTCGGCTGCGCTTCAGACACGCCTTAAACACAAGAGGGCGTGGCCATGGGCCAATAGCTGATTATCCGGATTACCAACGAAGACGTCCTAGTGTACACAAGGATGCCGGTTGTCTCACGTTATGTGTAGTCCATGTCGCTGCTCAGCACACATTGCGTATTATACCATTAGACTCACGGTCTTGACACATTTTCTGTCGGTCGCAAAAGCGAAAAGGGTTTATATTCAGTGATTCGACGTCAAATGACACTGTTATGATTAGGGATTAGCAGATAAATGACAGATCGGTACCCTATAAAACATGGAAGGTGGTTACATCTGAAAGAATGAACCATGCCATTTTAACCCGATGGTTTACATGGTTTAACACGAGGTGAATACGGTTTGGTGTATCCTCTTTGTTACCGTGGTGTACCCCGTGCCTATACAGTCGACTATCAGTGATCATTAAAATAGAGTTGTGGGCTATTGGAAATGTCTGGAGCAGTCAAATAAAACGCGTTCAGAGTAGTATACGTACTGTCGGACAAAAACTATCATACACTTGAAATTTGATAATCAGATTTGACGAAAAAGAATAGAAAAGAAGGAAAATCGTGATGAAAACGTTACTATAGACTGAAAATACCCCCCGAACCACTGTAAGCTTAGGGTCCCAAACACAACTATGATAACCGTATGAAATATATCGAGCAACCACTTCTTGTTTGTTGCACGTTGTGCAACTATAAACCATGAGTGAATACTTTATTTTACACACCAGTTTTTGTATGTTACATTATATACTGAATAGACGTATCTTAGTGACTCGTCACTCAGAGCTGCTCGAGAATATTCACCTGTTGTATCCACAATGAAACCTGTCTAAACCGGTACCCCACAGGACCGAAATATAATGCCGGTTTAGACAGGATACCGGGTTAGACAGTGACGATCATTTCCCAACATGGCTGCCATTTACACTCGTTAATCTCTTAATCGCCTTACAGCCTTTGATCTTTTGTAATTGTGCAACAAATTAAAACGCGCCAGAAATTCAGGAAGTAGTGATCGCGCGGTGAATCAAATGCTCAAAGCAGGCATGGGTGTGACTTACATTACATGATCGCACAAAAAGATGGAAATGTTTACATTTGTTGGACAATTACCAAAGATCAAAGGCTTTATAGAGATAAAGAGATTAACGAGTGTAAATGGCAGCTCATATTCTGATGATGCAATATTAAAGTTGCACTATTGTGTACACTAGTTAGAGGCAACGCGAATTCTAAACATGAACTGAACACATTCTCTCCTTATTGACCGCCTCCGTGGTGTAGTGGTTAGAGCCGACCGCGTCATACCAAAAGACGTTAAAATATGGTACTTGTTGGTCCCTGCCTGGCGCTCGGCATTAATGGGTACAACAAGGACTGGTCGGCTCGGAGTCAGTATAATGTGTCTGCGTGGGGTATTCATGCCTCACTGCGGCATGGTATCTCAGTGGGCTAGCACTATAAAACCAGCTTAAGTCTGGGCTAGTACAAGCAGCCGCACATACACATACACACGCATGCACGTCGTCATATGAGCGAAATATTCTCAAGCACGACGTTAAACCCAATTTTACCTCACCTCACCTCTCTCCTTATCACATTTCAAACAGAAGCTGCATATTACGACTGCTTCAAGCACTGTAAAATACTGACTGACTGAGTTTAGTTTTACGCCGCTTTTAGCAATATTCCAGCAATATCACGGCGGGGGACACCAGAAATGGGCTTAACACATTGTGCCCATGAGGGGAATCGAACCCGGGGTCTTCGGCGTGACGCCCTAACGCTTAACCACTAGGCTACCCCACCGCCCTCACTGTAAAATAGCAGCCTGGGGTAAGCAGCGTGTTCGTTATTCCCAATATACCCTCTCGTGTGAAGCCAATTTCAGTTCCCCCTACCGTGATATTGCTGTAATATTGCAAAAAGCGACATAAAACCCAACCGATCACTCACTCAATGTGCCGGTTGTGAAAGTCAGAACAGTGCCTTGATCGACATTATTATATTGTCTTAATCTGATTTCAATGTTTTTGTCGTGGCTTTCTGTTATGTTCTATTTTTGCACGATTCGGGAAAACACCATATGGTATGCAACACATGTTCACACAACCAACACTCAAACAGGTATACACTTTCGGCCGAGGTTGTTTACATGTAAACTTGGCTTTACTGTGTGACACCGTTTCTGTTAGATCATAAAATACCTTTTACGACTGCTTCAAATAAAATTGATTGAATTTGCAAAAGACAGCATCCGGCATTGGCACCAAATTTGGTCCAGTACAAGACAGAGTATAATTGATTAATAGTAAAAGATTAAACAGAAGATCAAAGTATAATCCTTGAACTGCATCACGACAAAACATGCCTGACTTTAACAAATCACTTACACATTAACACAAATAAAGCTCACCACAACGCCCTGAAGTGTATTTAAAAGGTCAATTATATATTTTTTATGAAAGCTTCTAAATAAATATGGATGAATATGCTCATGTGTCATTTGCAACGGCCTGTGTGACAGAGTGACAGAAGAAATAGGCCTTCATCTTCTAGCGAAGCATCTTAGAATGTATTATGTATATGCCGTTATTTCTGTAGTTTTGTGAATAAACAGTGGGCAGAAAAAAAGCCATCCGCTATAATCAGTAAGATATCTAATGCGAGAAAAGTGAAAGTTCAGACGCCGTATATCATAGGAACTCCGGCGTATCCATGCTTCCGCTTGGGATAGGGCGGTGGGGTAGCCTAGTGGTTAAAGCGTTGGCTCGTCACGCCGAAGACCCGGGTTCGAATCCCCACATGGGTACAATGTGTGAAGCCCATTTCTGGTGTCCCCCGCCGTGATATTGCTGGAATATTGCTAAAAGCGGCGTAAAACCAAACCCAGTCAGTCAGTCCTCTTGGGATAGGAATACGAAGCGGTAATAAAATATAATCGATCGAGGCAATGTTTGCATCTTGACTTCATTGGAACCATATTCTCTAAAAGTTATACTGCGTGTAATAACTTCAAGGTTAATTGAGTCAGTTCAGTGAGTAGGGAATAATATTACGTTAAAGCAATTCGAAAACTCCTTATATATCTTTCTGTTTCGCTCACAGGACATGTACGGCAGTTACTATATATGACAAATACTACACATCGTCATTCCGGTATATATGTGCATAAATTTGAATGAGTGTGGTTTTACGATGATTTTAGCAATGTTCCAGCAATATCAGGGCGGGGGGCACCAGAAATGGGCTTCACACATTGAATCGAACCAGGGTCTTCAGTGGGTCGGGCGAACGCTTTAGCCACTCGGCTATCCCACTGTCCAATATACACAGGAGGTTAGGATAAACGCCGGTTATGCCAGGGGGAGCTGACATTTATTATGGTCATTATAAGGTCAACTTAGGGACTGACCAGCGCTACCACTTTTTCTACCTGTTGACACGTTATACACTTATCATCATGAACAGAACAGACTGACTGACTGATTTTGGTTTTTACGTCGCTTTTAGCAATATTCCAGCAACATCACGGCGGGAGACAATAGAAATGGGCTTCACACATTGTGCCCATGTGGGGATTCGAACCCGAGTCTTCGGCGTGACGAGCCAACGCTTTAACCATTAGGCTACCCCACCGCCCCTGAACAGAATAGAAGACACATATACATTCGTAGGTAACATATAACATGGATGACTATAGAAGGACGGAGCATGTTCACAATTTTCCGTAGGATGGGTGAGTGAGCAGGTATGGTTTTACACCGCTTTTAGTAATATTCCACCAACACACGACGTCAAGATGGGCTTCACACATGTATCCATGTGGATAATCGAACTCTGATTTTCGGTGTGAGAATCGGACACTTGAACTGCTTGGTTATCACAACACTCCTTAAGTTGCTTGTGTTTTGTGATCGTGAGCTGAACATCATTATGTTGAGTCCTGAATTATTGAATTACCTCAGAAATATTGAGCCTCTGTTTATGGCCTCAAAATGATTTATCATAAACCTATAGAGACAGATGTAAATTCCATGAAACACAGAAAAGGAATAGAAAGATATCTTCGTCATTTCGTCATGAACAAACACAGTAATCGCAACCCGAGGGAAAAACGTTTCTGTGAAACTATTGCGATGAGGGATATTTCAACAAACGGCAATAGATGAGTGCAAAATCGTTTTGTCTGATGATTGATCTCGTGAAATCAACGTTTGCCTTTTGTATATATATAAAATTAAGAGCTCTAAAAGTGTGGCCCTGTTAGAGGCGGTCTTGTGTTGCATGTGTTGTTGCTTGAATAGATCTAAATCTAGCAATGTCACAAGAACAACATCACCCCATTTAGTTTTATTTGTCTTGTCATTTTGTCCATCAGTATTTATCATCATTATTCAAGGTGTATGGAGAACTCATTATACCTCCTTTCAGGGGAGGCAACTCCACGTATAATATTTGTTAAGTATGACCAGAGTTGTCTCCACACACGCCAGCAGACGATAATCAAGTCAACCGAGGAAATGGCTGCTTCTGGTAAACGACTGAATACTGCTATGAAGAAATCGGACCAGCACTGATGAAATTGAGCACAAAAAGACAACAGGTAGGCCCAAAGAAATTTACTTGTCATTTACCAAGTCAAGTTGGTATTTTGGCATCTCACAACAGACACAACAAAGTACAAAACATGAGGCGTGACATGGTTAATTGAGTAACAATTGATATGTTTCTAAAGAAACAAGAACGCTTTGGTTTGCTAGAAATTAATTAAGGCGACTTCCATCACCTAATACCTAAACAGCAAGAACGATATTTCCACAGGTGTTTTGAGCATAGAAATTTCAAATAGAACAATATCATGTTCTCTCATGAAAGTTCGGTATGGAAATGTCAAAACTGCATGAAGATGCGGGCCAGAATACTAAGAATAGAACTAAATATCCCCTGTAGGAGGACTTTTTAAAATTTTGTTTAATTTATTCATTTAGGAGGAGTTGATTTAAACATATTTTTATTCATGAAGATGAATTGGGATTGGTGAACAAGCATTACTGCTTATCTTAACACCGCTCCCATGCAATATATATTACAACATGAAATGGAGGATTTGACGTCATCGATACCAACCATTGCATGAATATAATATTTTCAAATATTTATAAATATATACAGGTTACATGAAATACAACTATTCTCTAAGTAGTCATAAGTTAGAGAGTTACAGTTGTGTGTGGCTAACAAGCCATTGTAGAAATATAAATCAATCATGAGAAGGTTGTTGAGTAAATTTAATTATTTTCCTGAGAAAATTTGAAGCGTTGTGTCTCGTGAAATTTTAAGGTAAGACGTTCGCAGTACACTAATATTCAACAACGACGTCTCCTTCCTACATCATAAGTTTTATATCGTGAAGAATCTGATCCAAAACAAACTGCCAAGCATTCCCAGGAATGGTTTAGTGAGCGAAATGTCACCCCCCTGGGAACCATTCAGGTGCAAATAGGGACCTGAACCCAGTCGAAAATATTTTGGAATCGACAAGGACACTTTCACTAAAGAACCTAACATTTCAAGGGGCTATGCGAGGATTATATAGTTTTGTAATGATATTGTACTGTGAAGCGTTTTGAGTCGGGGGTCATCTCAAAAACAATATATATTTTTTTAATCTTTAAACCTCGCAAAGACACGAGGGCATCTCTCTCTCTGTCTCTCTCTCTCTCTCTCTGTGTGTGTGTGTGTGTGTGTGTGTGTGTGTGTGTGTGAAAGTACATGTAAAATATATAGATCTAATGGACATCGCATAGATGACACCCAGTACTAATCTAATGTACACATATTTAACCCCCTGTATGCCAGAGGGACATTACATATCTCCATCCTCTTAAACATAAACTTTGAAGTCGAATAAAATTCAATATATATGTAGGAAATATAATATTCTACATTTCTCGAGCAACGTTCACTTTTCAGACCGTAAAGATGACAAAAGAAAGGAACGTGTTATCCATAACGTTTCACGTCTCCATTGAGTCCAGGAAAAAGTTTGAAACAGATGGAGTTAGCCCCCTTGTTGTCTTCATTTGATACAAAGTTAAAAAAAGTATTGACTTCCGGAATTGCGGTAAACCTCTTTCTACAGATCAAAATGAACATTAGTGAGCCAAATGCGAAGATGGAAGTTAAACAAGACGAAGCTGTAGGATCCGAAAGACCCCCTTCTGTTGTGGAAAGATATTTTGAACAACGGTTTAAAATCAGTACGTAGTAAATATAAAAATAATTATCTCTGTGATAAGAATGGCTGTAGGTGAATTCGTAGACCAGACTGGTTCGTAGACGTGGAAATCCGGTGGATTCGTAGACGGATTGAGCGGTGGATTCGTAGACGTTATTAAAATGGGAAAAGTTCAACATCAATGATGATGATGAAAATCGACGAAAAGTGTTTGCATTTTGTGAAATAAATCAAATATATCAGGTAAGTATGATCGGCGGTGAAAATATGCTTAAAATAATAAAATATGCTTCACAGCAGTCCACGTCCGACAAATTCCGACAAATCATAGGCCGCTAATATATTAAATTCAGTTGTGTAAAATTAAAAGATATGTATTAGGTAAGTATCGTCATTCAACGTTCAACTACGCAGACCAGCAAAGAAGTGGCAGAAAACACTTCTTAAGAAAACACTTACATCTCCTACACAGTGTATTTCGCAATCAAAACAACTCACCACTTCCTAATTAACATTCACAACAACTCTGTGAAACCTGTTAATCCTCCCACAACAATGAAAACAGTCGGGAAATTATGATGAGTAGACTAATTTTGTCTGATCCGACGACAAAGTTTACCTGTACAAACACTTATGGTATATAAACCTCAAGAAGGTAAGAAGAAATCATTCTTCATTCACACTTTCTTGTCCTTAGCTGCCCTTAGTTTCGTATCACTGAAAACAAAGCATAAGAACTTCGTTATACACATTCTAAGTAAAAATCAAACTTAATATAAACTATTATTCAATTATTAATACACGTCTACGAAATCACCATCTACGAACCAGTCTGGGTTACGAATCCACCGCGTCTACGAACTGGTTCAGTTTACGAAATCACCGTATCCCATAAGAATGGAGGTAACTCATCACTTAGTTAAAACCAGTGATTGCTGTAAAATCGTCACTGATCGCCTCTTACTATTAATATTTATTCAAGAAAACAAATATGAGTAGGAATCCTCTGTTGTGTAGTAGCTGATGCTTAGACTCTGAATTGGCATTGTTAGGTAACTAGTAGTCCAGCATATAACTATAGACGACTTTGCACTATACCAAGGCTGGAATACAAGTTTATTCATACAGTGTTCACGAATGGTGTTTCAAAGTCACAGGACATTGGGTCCTGTAAGTTTTAGATGTCTGTCTGACCCATTGAAATTGCACAGGACCCATAGAATAAAATTAAACACACATTTCAGATTTAACATTTCTTATAATTGACATTGAAATTATTAAGAAAATTAAGATTTATAAACAGCAAACAAGTGTCACATGTCACATAAAACAACTTCAGTCAAAGTCATTGTGAAATATACAGTCAGACACTGGGGCAGGCGGGTTGTAGACTTCTGTCTGGCCGTTGCCGAATCTGCCGGATTTGTCAGAGGGTCAGACGCTATTCGTGAAAACTGTTCATATGAACTAGGTAACTAGGTGAATTTTATCGATTGATCGTGTTGATTGCTTGTAGTTGTAGTTTCAGAAATTGTCAACTCTTTCACTTGAATACATTGTATTTGACATACTATATGTTATACATTTGACATTAACATAGGTATGGGTATAGAGTAAGGGTGGTCAGGGTTGACTTGGTTGGTGCATGTCATCGTATCCCAATTATAGATCCATGCTTATAATGTCATTGGGTTATCTGAACCAGACTCGATTATGTATAGATTTCATCCATATAGTTTGAATACTGTTGCATATGGCATTAAAAAACAACCAAACTAAGAAACCATGTACATGGTTTATAACACCTTATCCTCACAGGTATATTTTTGTTGTATTGTTTTTGGTTAAAACTGATTTTAACAGTACATAAAAAGTTGCCTCCCTTTGACCAACCCATGACTTAGGCGTTTGACTGTGATGTGAAGAGTTATCTTCCTTGGTGTTAGAGGGGCGTTACCTAACACTGTGCTTACTGCTAGCATGGCGACCGCTGTCGCACACAAGGTTTTATGAAAACGACAAGAAGTTTTCATGTTTCTGAACATGGTGGAAGATAGCGAAGGTGTGAAACCTAAACGTAAGGGTGCAGGATCACGTATGCCAATCATCATGGAGACGCTACGCAAGTCAGACCAGGGAATCGCTTTGTCTCCTGACAGACATACGTCAACCACGCCGACAAGGTCGACCGATTCGCCAAGTGAGTTTCATGGACAGTCACACTCTAGCAGGTCCCCTGTTATCGACACGACCGCTTTGCAGAGCGAATGTAAAGTTCTGGAGGCCGAATTGACGAAACTACGACTTGAAGCCAAGCGCAAGAAATGGTAGGATGAGATTGAGGGCTTGAAACAACAGCTAGGGGACGCTCGGCAAGATGGCGGCGAAAGTCAAGGTTAACATCAGTGGACCGGCGGTAAAACTTCTACTGGAAAAAAGCGTAACATTGTTGACTATTTCTGGCTAGAATCGTTAGATGTAGAGCCTAAAACTATCGAGTTAGGTGATGGTATTACATTGGACCATGGCAACTCTAACTCGAAGGGTGCCGGGAAATTAGGCAAGGTCACTCAAGAATGTGGGTTTATGCCAGCAGCGGCATACTACGTGACATGATCTCTTCGTCAGAGGTAGATATGGGGTGTGTGATGGATTACCTGAAATATGTGCAGGATGTTTGTCGCCTGTCTTCCAAGTACATCTGGGGCAGTGTTCTTCTCTATGACCAGGAGTACCGAAACAAAATTGCTCAAGAGAATTTCAGATGGGGTACCCAATACACAAGACATCCGTGAATTCCAGTTGATTGCTAAACCAAACTCTACCACGTCTAAAGCTCTCAGACAAATGGACAACTCTACGCATTCGCATAGCGCCGGTTATGGCAGGCGTGACGGAAAGAATCGCTCCAGGGGGCCATTCACTTGAGAGGGCGTAGAAATATGTAGGAGATTTAACTATGGTAACTGTTTGTTGGAGGACCACTGTCGTATGGCTCATGTGTGTAGTGTTTGTGGGAAGCGTGGACATGGTATGACCCATCACTCACAGCCCCAGCCATACATCCAAATCCAGCCTCCTACACAAACCCAACCATATGTACCAAGAGCTCAGGACCGGGTTGAGTCAAAAAACTTGACTCAACAACCACACTACTAAGTAATGAGATGTGGAGTGAACTGTTACCCCCAGACGATGTAGACAGGGACTACATTTTAGATGGTGTGAAGGCAGGCTTCAAATTAGTAGATACTGTCGAGTCTATTGAGGAGGTTTTGGTGCCAAATCATAGATCTTGTTTCCAAGATAGAGACCTTACAGAAAAGCAGATTATCGAAGAAGTGACACTAGGCAATTATATTATCACAGATAAGAAACCAAAGCTTGTAAGTGCTTTAGGGACAATTCCTAAGTGGAGCTCCAAAGTAAGATTGATTCATGATGGAAGCCTTCCTCTGTCAGGGGGTATGAACAGTTACATGGAGGAGTGACAGTGTAGTTACATGGACCTGAGACATGCTATGCTGTATATTAAGCCTGGCAGTTATCTTGCTATGGTAGACCTTCAGAATGCATACCGCTCGGTGCATTTGCATCCGTCCAACTATGACCTCACTGGTTTGTATTGGAAATTTAAGGGTGATAATGATGTCACATACTTATACGACAGAAAACTTCCTTTTGAAGAAAGCAAGAGCCCGAAAATATTTCAGACTCTTGAGTGCAGCGATATGTAAGATAATGAAGGTCAAGTATGGCCGGACAGTCATAGCATATATAGATGAGTTCTATATTATAGCGGACACTGCAGAAGAATGTGGCTTGGCCCTGAACCAGCTTATTCGGGTGTTGAGGAAGCTGGGTTTTAACATAAACTGGAAGAAGGTGGAGGGACCCTCTCAGGTGTTAACTTTTCTTGGAGTGCAAATAGACACGCTCAAGACCACACTCTCTCTACCTGTATTAGATGAGTTTGCTCTGAGGAAATGTTCTAGCAAAAGACAGTTGGAAAGTTTAATTGGATAATTGAATTGGGCCAGTAACGTGGTTCAAGGTGGTAGGACCTTTTTGAGAAGAGTAATTGATTCTAAAAATGAATTAAAAGGGGGAACTGACAAAATTGTGCTTAATAGTTATTTTAAGCTTGATGTTGAACGGTGGAGACATTTTATGAGTGTATTTAATGGCTCAGTGTCATTCCTGGATGAGAGACCTGTTACATCAGTTCAAACTGATGCTTGTTCACAGGATGCTGGAGCCTACTACAATGGTGATTTTATGTATACAAACTGGCAGTGGGACATTCCTGAAAATTTTAGGTATGGACATTAATATCAAAGAGACCATGGCAATTGTTCTGGCAGCAGCTAGATGGTGTAGTGTTTGGCAAAATAGGAGAGTCATTGTCAAGTCTGATAACATGATGGCCAAAGCAATGATTAACAAAGGTACAACAAATATCCCCTTTGTAATGTCATATCTTAGGTGGTTGTTTTGTCTTAAAGCTGTTTTCAACTTTAAATTGACAGTTGAGTATGTTCCAGGCAGGGAAAATGTTGTGGCAGACTGTATATCCCAGTTGCACGAGAGACATAGACTTAGTCAGTTATATAATTTGCTACCAAGTCTGCAGTTAAGTGAATTTTCCATTGATAATCTAAGATTGCATTTGTCAGAGCATTTCATTTATTCCAGATGGGGAGTTTGTGAGCAAACTACAGATGGGTGCAGATCAGTTAGCATCCCAGGGCTGGGCAGAATCCACAAAAGCAACATATAAGACTCACTTAAAGTGCTTAATGGTGTGCTGTGATAAATTGAACATTGACCCAGTGCCTTTGTCAGCGGAGCAAATTGGATGGTATATTGCATATTTAGTAGATGTGAAGGGCTTTAAATATGCTTTTGTGAAACAGTACTTTTGTGTTATCTCTAATTTGCATAAGGCAAATAATATGCAGGATCCTGTTACAGGAGATTGGTATGAAAATCATCTATTATAGGGTGTCAAGAGAGAGTTAGGGTGTGCTCAAATTGGTGCCTTACTCTTTTCACCCCAGTATTTATTAATTTTGCACAAACGGATTGACACATCATGTCGGATTGGTGCCTCAATTATATGGATGGCATGTTTGTTAGTTTTTTTTGGTTTACTTAGACCAGGTAACTGTTTGTGTAAAGTCAAATTTGATGGTACAAGACACATTACAGTTCAGGATTTATGTCAAGCTGCCAATCATGTTACAGTGTTGCTTAAATGGACAAAGACACTGCAGTTTAAAAAAAGGGTTTTGTCTATTTGCTTGCCAGGCCTTAGTGGCCATCCTTTGGACCCTGTTTGGGCTATGGTCAATTTGATGTCCTCTCATGACCAGAGTTTGGGTGATAGGCCTTTATTGTGTGATAACCAGTTTAATGCTTTGACTTACTGTGGCTTCATAGCTACAGTGCAGCATGTTCTAGAGTCAGCAGGTGTTGAGGGCACTATTACAGGCCATTCCTTTAGAAGGGGTGGAGCTTCTTAGCTTTTCAGATTATTTTGCCAGGAGAAATCATACAAGACTTAGGTTTTTGGAAAAGTCAGACATATCTTCGCTACTTGGATATTAGTACTTGTGGCAAATTAGAAGCTATGGAAAGGTTTGGGAAGGCTCTCCCTGCAAAATAGATTGCATAATTGAGCGTGCATAATTAAAGTTCAGAATTGAATGTTTGAGGTTCTAATATTTCTTTCTACAAAGTGACTATATAATTTAGTGTTAAGAGAAAAGGTTTGAGGTTTTAACAATACCTCTTTTCTTATTTTGGGCTGGGAGATATAATATACATTATTACATTACTGTAATATTTTGTAATCACCGCATGCTGACACATTTCATGATGTATCTTCCAGCCTTTTGAATTTATTAAATTGTGCCAAATGTTTTAATTGCTTGTTATGTTTAATTTTGAAGTAGAAGTTAAAGTATAGTTTTAGGTTAAAGCTGATTTTAACAGTAAATAAAGAGTTGCCTCCCTTTGACCAACCCATGACTTAGGCGTTTGACTGTGATGTGAAGAGTTATCTTCCTTGGTGTTGGAGGGCGTTACATAACACCACGCTTACTGCTAGTATGGCGACCGCTGACAAGGCACTAAACTAAGAAACTATGTACATGGTTTATAACACCTTATCCTCACAGGTATATTTTTGTTCACCCAGTTCAATAATGTATTGCAGTTGTAGCATATGCTGTGAATTTTTTGAAGGCTAAACAGCTGTTTGAATTCTGTGTTGTTTTTTTCAAACTCTGGAGGAATGTCCCACTGATTAGCTGTGTGATGCCTTAGGAATGTACATGTGCGAAGTTTTCCAACCATGATATTGGAATATTGCCAAAAGTGGCGTAATACCATACTCACTCACTCACATGTGCAAATATTCAAGTTCATTTGCATTATTCTTTTAATATCAAACATGATATCTAAAAGAAAACTGTTGTTGCTGAAGACATGTAGGACATCTACAAGATATGTGTAATGGGGCTAACCCTATCTAATTACCAGGTTATACTTTTTCTTGACCTACATTTATGAATTGCTGATTTCATTGTGTATACCTCTGTGTGTTGTTTCTTGTATTATAGATGTGAAAGGGAAGCAGAGAGAAGACCACTGCGTATTGTCCCATTCAAACAGGTATGTTCTTTCTTTTGGTCATCTGTTTTGAACATTATCAGCAAATCAAACAATCTGTCAGGTTTCAATGGGGGCAAGGATGGTCCAGTCAGTTTTCCATGCAGAGTACTGTCTTTTGGGCGTACCAGAAACATATGATTCAAGTTTAAAGCTCTGGTTCCAAGTGATTATTTTCTTGGTTTGTCAGGACTATTCTCTTGCTGTTGGAATTCACCTAAGAGGTAAACATCTTACACCTACACTGCCTCCCGAATGAACATGACAGGCTCTGATATAACCGGGATGTACTTTACAATGACATTAAACTCAAACCAACCAAATCATGATTTTCGAACTACATGAGTTAAGTTAATTTTGTCCATGCTGCTAAAACCATTACTGTTAGCAGGTAACTTTTGAAATAGCAATCTAAACTGAAATCTGCCAGATAGCCCTGTTGTGAAACAATCTGGTTATAAAACATTTTTTTCTGATCAACTTTATTCAAAATTTGTTTCCCTCTTGTTGGCAATAATGTCCTGCTGCTAGCCATTATTTCCCTCAGCTGATAAGAATATCTATATTTATGCTGTGAAAAGAACTTTTGTTTTTCGAGAATGACTTCGTAGATTATGTTATTGTGATATTAGGTAGTTTTTAGCTGAAGGATATCCAAGATGCCATTTCCTCACAACTTTTGTCACAAGAATACATTTATTTGGTGCACATAACTGAGTTAAATACACTCTATACACAAGTTCATACAGTGTATACATACATTCAGTTTATTGTTTCAGAATCTGCATTGTAACATTAGCACAATCTCATCCAGTTGTTGCCCAGAAGAAAAAGGTCACGTCTGTCAACTTCAAAGTTAATGACAACCTTGACAGACTTGACAACAAAGTAACTGGAAAATCAAAAAGAGTGAGTCTTCTTCTGATTACTTTAAATGTTGTTATCTCCTGCTGGGTACTGCTGTATCATGAATAATGAAGCAGAATCAAATGAATTATGACTGCAAATCACCTGAAAAAGACAAGCACTTAATACACTACACAATTTTTATAGGGATATTCTGACTGACAGGGACTGATTGTGACAAGTTGTCCTACTAATAGTGCTCTGTATTGCCATGGAACTGATTCATTTTCAGGATCATGGAAATGAAAAGTAATTTATGGCAGCAATCTCATAAAAATCTTTCAATTTAAAATCATTATAGATCAAATTAACAATGGTGCTTGCTAATTTACTCTAAGAATCTGCAGACATCCCATTACAAGGTGACTTTGTTGGAACCATTTGTAAACTTTAACTGAACGTTAACTGTGCATGACAAGAAAACACATTCTGGTACTCACCTTCAATATCTGATAAGCTACACTCCGATTGATCAGTTGAAAGGTGGGATGTGCTCAGATCTTTGTTTAGTGACATCTTTTATGTGATATTTTTTGGATGGTCATCTATATATAATATTGATGATGTTGAACCTATAAAAGAACATGGATCAGAGGCTTCATGAAGAAAATCCATTTCAGGGAGCCCAGATTTTGAAAGCCAACTCACCACTGTGTAAAATTACGTGTGATGATGGGTCGGAGTACACTGTGTATAGCTGCATCAGAGGAATGCTGGTTGAGGTCAACGAACATCTGTCACAAAAACCAAATCTTCTTGTCAATAAAGTGAGTAGTTTACATAATCTCCCTTTCCTGTATTTCTGTTTAGTATACCTGAGGTGAGTGGGTTCCCAAATAGGTGAAGTGAGGTTTCAGTCTAAGTAAACTTAGGCTCAGTATTATTCATTACACTGCTATACTGAGTCTAACAAAAGCCTTGTGGGAGGTCGCGTCAGATAACCTTTTCAATTGACCAATCAGAACACTGCTTACCAAATTGTGAAAGTTGACATTCGCACATACCTTTTGAACATTTACCTCCAAAAAAGTTTGTACCGAACAATTCCGAATGCTATTTTCCATCCGATCGGTTCCTAGTGAGGCACGCCACAGCAGTGAGTAAACAGTCGCGAAAAAATAGCGTTTTGTCAGTATTCAAGCATGTCAGCTTGCTGAAGTATTAGCTAATGATAGCCATGTCAACAGAAACCCCAAAGCGTATATACTGCAGGTCAAATATCTGTGTTTTATGCAATTTCATTTGTTGGGAGATCAGTGTTGGCGAAAGAGGAAGAGAAAACCCATTTTGTAAGTCCCCCGAACCCTAAATAGTAGCTCTTGTCTGATTGGTTAAATCCGTTCGGCCGTCTCGCGTTTGATTGGACGGTCATAGGTCGCTCAAAGGTTACCTGACGCGACCTTCCACAAGGTATAGCATAGACTAAGGCTTAGTCTCTGAATATATATAATTTTGATAGTAACAATCAAGCAGTGGTAATTCAGAATGATACCAGACTTGTCTAAATTTAGGGCTTTAGACTGCAGAGAGGGCTGGCAGTATATGTGGTTCAGGGACTGTGAGACGAACTAGGTTTGATACTACCAAGTCTAAGTTTACTTAGAATTAGACTCAGTATAGCAGTGTAACGAATGATACTGAGTCTAAGTTTACTTAGACTAGGTGAGGTTTAACAGTACTTTAAAGTGACATGCATGTGTGTTGTTGCTAGTCTGGATCTAAGTGCTTGCCCACTGCGATACCATGCTGCAGTTTAACAAGGAGGCCCCACTCAGACACATTGTCTTGATTTGGATACGATGGGACCTTCTTTATCTGGTTATGCCAAGGGCCAGACAGGGTAACAAGTACCATCTTCTAACGTTAGAGACAGACGAAGCGTCGAACAATCAATCTTCTACTCTGTTGGAGTCACTCTATTTACTACTGACTGACTGAGTTTAGTTTTACGCCGCTTTTAGCAATATTCCAGCAATATCATGGCGGGGGACTCTATTTACTAGTACTCACAATACTAGACCACTGAGATTGTCCATCGCTGATGATGTTTTAGTAAAGGCAAATAAAAGTGAGAGGTGTCTTTGAGCTTTAATGTTATTAATATACAGTAGTATATGGGCACATTTTTATCTTTCATGATTTTGCTTTACCATTCAGCATGTTTAATGGTTGGTTAGGTAAAAAAGCAAAAAAAAAATCATATAGCTCAAATTTTTATATTTTATTCAGCATAATGTGTGTGGATCAGTTGATCTTGGTTTGGAAAAATGATTTTGTGTGTGCTGTTTACAGTTTATGTACATTGGGCAGGGCAGGTAGGGTGTTATGATGTCGAAACTTCATGTATATGACTATACATGCCACTCAAAGAAGTCGCTTTGGAACTTCATGAAACAAATTAGCCGATCTATTATTTATAGTGAATTTAGCGTCACACAGCTGCTAATGAGGCCTTGGTGGCAGTGTTAGACTACCGGGTTGAAGTAAACTGTTGTACATGTGCTCTCAAGCCTTGTTTCATTGTTATACTTTACTTGCATATGCATAAACTATCAGCACCTTGACCATGTACTAGTTGTGTGGATATGAGTGCAATATAAATATTCTATAATATTTATTTAAAAAAATAAACTACTAAAAAGAGTGAGTGAGTGAGATTAGTTTTATGCCGCACTCAGCAATATTCCAGGTATATGGCGGCGGTCTGTAAATAATCGATTCTGGACCAGACAATCCAGTAATCAACATCATGAGCACCGATCTTCTCAATTGCGAACCTTTGATATGTGTTAACCAAGTCAGCGAGCCTGACCACCCGATCCCGTTAGTCGCCTCTTACGACAAGCATGGGTTACTGAAGATCAATATTCTAACCTGGACCTTCACGGGTCTTTACTAAAAGAGGTAAACAACACCTGATTCTTTCATTTTACCACAGTTTATACACTATGACAGGGTAAATATACTATAGGAGAGAAGTGGGTGTTCTTTAAATTCTTTTGAGTGTTATATCATAGGGAATCCAAATGTTGATAGGCGTATCCGGGGGTGGGGTGTGTGTGTTTGTTTGCAGGGTTGTGCACCTCTTTCTCCCCCACCCTCCCCCATTTCGTCCTGAAAGTTTATTCAATGACCATTGAAAATGGATTAGAATGAACTGTTCCTCCCCCCTTTCTCATAAAGCTGTATCTGCCCCTGATGTTTCTCCTCTTTCCCCTGAACACAACAAAATACTTAACACAACATATGGGCGGCATGGTGGGTGAGCTGTCTGAAGCACCAGGCAAGTGATCAAGTGAGCTTGAGGTGCCTGGATCGAACCCACTTGTGACTGGGTGTAAAAAACATGGAGTCAGCTTTGTGCAGACTCTTTCAGTGTTACAACCCCTAGTGTACAGTACACAACCCTGTGCACTTAAAAGAACCTACAAATCCGTTGGTAAATGATCAGATGGTGGCCACATGAATACGTGCAAACATCTAGTTGGGGGTACAGCAATGTGTAGTAAACTTGGACAAAGTACTGTGACTATGTGTCCCAGTCCACCCAGCTGTGAATGGGTACCTCATAAGAATGGGAAAGCCTTGTGGCTGCAAGAGTTGCATGCTCCCCAGGGGGCTGAGATTGATAATACGATGTGCCGTTTGAGATTGACATCCTATGATCGAAGGAAAAACAAAGCACCTGTGAGCAGCTGAGCTGGATATTGGCGCTATGTAAATAGATTATAATAATAATATCAGAATACTGTATGGTGCACTGACTATCCGCGGTTTATTCATTAATTAATACATATCCACATCATCAACATCAACATTGATATGATTGTATAGGTAACTGATTCACATATCCAACATATATAAACAGCCTAAAACAGGCATCAATGCCTAATCACGTATTCTTGAGCAGAATCCTAACTCTTTTGTTGAGAATGATGCAATGGAAATTACACATTTACAATGTTAATTAACTTTTTCAGATATTGATACTAAAACCCGTGCTAACATGGGGACAAGGGTTGCTCAGTCAAAGGTCACTACAATCTGACATACACACTTGCTTTCCTCAGCTGCACCAGGATCTGCTTATCATGTGTTTTATTCTCAGATATGCCCTTATTATGATTTTTAATTTGTCAGCACAATACATGTCAGTGTTTGGGTAAACAGAGAAACCAGCGTTTTTCACGCAATAAAAATCATAAAAACATGCAAACAATATTTTGTGTGCGTGTTTTGCACGCACAAATTCTGATTTACAGTTTATATTGTTATTGACAATACTGCGTAATTACTAGTAGACACTTCTCTCTAAACTGAATATAATTAACATTCAAATAAATAATAAGAATTGTCACAAATATTTTCACTAGAATATCTTTAATACATACACGAATTACATAACAATAACATCATATTATTATATTTCTCCATGTAAGTCGTTTGTGTTTTAGCAGTAGGCATCATTAGCAGTCATAGGTCTTTTACAGTTGACTATCGGAAAATCTGTTACTTGTGACAATATTTAGGATAATCTCGCCCAGATTAGTCTCTATCCTCTTGTTAACTAACTTGCCCGACAAAACTACGTCATTCATATGCCATATTATATGATGAAATGGACAAGGGAATAATTAATCACATAAACAGGATGTCATTGGTTACTGTCGAAGGAATTCCCCAGAACTTGTTCATTTCAACCAGTCAAAGCCCAGGTTGCAAATAATAATATGAGCAGTAATAGGATCGATATGTAAAACCACTATTAACGATCGTCGGTAGTAAGGAAATGACTTCAACACAAGGTATAGGCAAACTTCAGTCACATAATGATCGTTCATTATATTCAAACACTGGATCGTAAGTAAAAGCTTAAAATTATAATTATTTGTTATGATAATGATGGTATTGTAATGAAAATTTCACACGCAAAAGATTTGGACTACATATATAATATATAATTATATTTCTTCACGCACTGGTACAAAACTTACCATGAACACTGCACATGTTTGTGGATTTAACTAAAACGGTAAATATAGCTGACCACTGTCATTCAGTATGTTATCCCACATTATTTACTCCCTGTGGACCGTCTCTGTGGTGTAGTGGTTAGAACGTCCGCCCGGAGAGCGGAAGGTCGCTGGTTCGATCCCCGACCGCATCATACCAAAAGACGTTAAAATATGGTCCCTGCCTGATGTTCGGCATTAATGGGTACAACAAGGACTGGTGGGCTCGGAGTCAGTATAATGTGTCTGAGTGGGGTATTCATGCTTCACTGCGGCTTGGGGTATTCATGCTTCACTGCGGCTTGGTATCTCAGTGGGCTAGCACAAAAAACAGCTTAAGTCTGGGCTAGTACAAGCAGCCGCACCTACACATGCACACGCATGCACGTCATCATATGAGCGAAATATTCTCCAGCGTGACGTTAAACCCAATTTCACCTCACCTCACCTCCCTCCTTGTGATAAAAGTAAGGTGAAAACTAGTTTACAGTTACACAGAGGAATAAACTCTATGAACTGGTGTTTAGAGGTGTGGCATCACCATGACAATCATAGCATGAAGGTAATAAAATTTTCTTATGCAATAGTCTTTGCCTCTCTTTGTGGACTATGTGTAAAATGCAGTAAGTCAGTCAGGTTTTTCTGATTTGTTTGTTTACATACCAAAGGAAAGAAAACGTTAGCTGTTGGAAATAGCTCAGATAGTTAAGGCCTCAGTCAGTGCTTGGATGAAGATAAGCTAATGATGGTTTCCA